ATGACTGCTCAGGGTCCTTCCTGGGAACCGGGCCTTCCCCCCTGTTGCTGTCCTTTGGCATTTAGTAATGCCTTTGTGCAAACTGCGGCCTGCCTCTTCTGCCCTTCAGAGGGACCTATGGAAGGGAGGGACCTTGCTGAACTCCAAGGGGCCAAGGGGAGTGCTGGACATCAGCATGAGAGCTCCAGATGGGCCTGAGCTGGTGTTTGGTCCTGCCACCCACCCTGCCTGGAGAGCCTGGGTCCAGGGACCAGACCTCTGAGGTTCTAGCTTGTTTTTGTGAAGGAAGCACCTTTTCACACTGGTAACTTTGTGGACTATCTTGGTTTTAAGCAGACTGCACACTCCAAACTGGGCCCCAGTTTACGGAACGTATAATGGTGAAAAAGAGGGGCCCCTGCCCTGCAAAAATGAGATGCTCCTCTCTAGGAAGGACATGTTGTGTGTGATTTCCTTCCTCCTCATTAGCCTGTGGGGTGTGGTTCCGGCAAACAGAAGCCTCCTCGACAGGGCTGCCAGATGTGGCACGTGCATGAGCCATTGGCAGTGCCCTGGAAAGGGCACCTGGAAAGGGTGTGAAGGCTGGGTGTGGGCCGGGGGCCGGCACGTACTAGTGGGTCCTGCCCTGGAAGCTCCTGCAAGGTGGGTGCAGGGAGGGCACCTTCAGTCTCACTTGCCCAACCCCCAACGTGGAGAAAACCCAAGACTAAATGAATAGAAAGACTCGAATAATGGAAAGAGGGATGCAAAGACTGCTGCCCTGGGAAATTGAAAAGTAAAAACCTAGGGGGCTAACCAGAGTAAAAATAAAATAAAAAACATAATAATATAAAAGAAGATCAAATAAAATAAATGCAAGCTGAGAAAGAGTAAAAATGAGATGAAAGAGGTTGGCAAGAAGGGGTAAGGAAGACAAAGTAGAGATGGAAAATGAACATACAACAGAAGACCAAATGCCGAGACTGAAGGAAAGGATGAAGTAACCAATAAATGTTTTTTCTTTCTTTCTTTCTTTCTTTCTTTCTTTTTTTTTTTTTTTAAGAAAAACCCAGTGGGTTAATAGAGGAAAGTAGCAGTGGGATTTTTTCAGCTCAGATTCTGGCCAACTGTGGGTTCCTTGGAGCCCATGGGCAGGGAGGGCCCAGCCCAGAATTGAAGCTTCAGGGCATTAAGCCTGGCTCCTTCTAAGATGCTGGTTGACCTCTCCCTGGTGGCGGTGGGGGATCGACCCTGGGACTTGGGTTGCCCTCTTCCTTGTGTTCTCAGGAGAGCTGGTCTTCTGTGCCATGGCCTGCAGAGAATCCTCCAGGTTGGGCTTTGGTGTGTCTTGCCAGTAGCAACCTTCATGCAGGTGTGGGCTGAATTATCTTAGAAATCCCAGGTGGGCCCTATGCTGGCGAGGGAGGAATGCAATCTTTCATGGTACAGTATCTTGTTTAATCTGGGGGCTTGCTTAAAGGTACATGATTGGAGAGGGGGCATCTCTTCAGGGGCTGGGTAGTGGTAGTTCCACATGGAGTAGACAGCTCCCCACGGAATGTGCTCGGGCAACAGGCTCCTGTGAGGGTCAGGATTCCAGCTGGTGCTCCTCAGTCCAGTTATTGACTGGGGTGAGAAATAAGATGACAGAGAAAGGAGAGGTCTGCTTTATGGAATGAAGAAGCTTTAAGTGACAACGATCGTGACTTCCTAGTGGACCACCATATTCTCTTTGTCTTGACACTTCACCTGCAGGTTTGGTGGCAAACTACTGGCTTCCAGTAGTATTCTAGTTGAGAGTGCTGATGGGCCCAGTTTATCTCTTTGCACCCTCCTTTCCCAAGTGGAAAATGGGAATATCGTCTCCTAGTAAAATGTAGGGTGCTGAGTGCAGTGCCTGCAAATGGTAAATGCTAAATAAATACGGTTATAATTAGTATAACCGAAGATCTCTTTAGAAAAAGCAATCACCTGTGCTGGCTGAACTCTGTGCAAATGAAGGATTTATTGACCCAGTTTTAATTTCTGTGAATACATCTTTGTGTAGTAAGGAGCAAACCAAGAGGACTGAGTCCTGGGTGCAGCAACTCACCTGGTGCCTTGGGTAAGTTACTCCTTTCTCTGAGCCTCGGTTTTCCCCTCCGTAAAATGGGTTTTTATCATATGACCCAGAGATTGCTAACCTCTCTTCTCCAGCCAGGTTATTGGCGTCAGGGTGAACTTGTTCATCAGGTAGAGTTGCTTGCCCGGGAGCCTGGACTGGGGGAGGCCGCTTTCACAGCCCCAGAGGTTATCAGGGTCGAAAGGGACTGGGCTGGCTCGATCAATAAGTAATTAAGGTTTTGATGAATCTGATAAAGCCCCAATAAGCCAATGTCCTTGGAAGCTGGTAATCCCAACTTCAGGTGGCAGAGAGGATTAAAATAGTCTTGCCTAGAGGTAAACAGGCCTAGGGCCCCAGTGATCTCTGGGTTTGCCTCCCAGCTCTAGTAGAAATGGGACCTGTGCAGAGTATCCTTCCTGGCCAGTCAAGGTATATCTAGGCCATTCCAGTCTGGTAGGGAAAACTGGCTTGGCTTGGAAGTATAAGAGGGTGAGCATTAAGAGATGAGCATCTTGGGCTGGTGAAGGACCCCGTACTGTCGGAAGTGGAGGGGAAGGTGGTGCCCAGGAGAGGAGCTTCCAGGGGAATGCCAACCTGTGTCATAGCCCTCAGGTCCCAAACGAGAGGGACCTCATCATCCAGATTAGAAACTGATAGAACTCTCCCCCAAACTATGTGTGTTTCTAGGTTGACTTCTTAATATTTGGAAGGGGGGCTTGAGACTTGTCTCACTGCAATAATGCTGCCACTACCTAGCATAATAAATATCAAGAAAAACTTGTAACTGGGTTAGAAGTATCACACGTCTACTTTACTAACATACTACAGGGGTCCCAACAAGTGTGTTTGGGGATCCCTGACCCTGTGGCCCTTGACCCCAGATTTGAGCCCCTACAGGGTGAACATACCACCATCCTTCCCAGGAGGAGACAGTCTCCATAGGAACCAAATTGCTACATAATAAAACCCATTCTTTATTCCCTTCTTTCTACAACTTTTCAGCCAGTGCATGGTAGAATTTCCAGGGAGTGAGAATGGAGGCATGGGGGGTTTGTAGAGCCCGGGAGGGGTGTGTTTTACAATTCAAGGCCCCTAAGATGGATTTCTTGAGGAAGTGCCTTTGTGTGGGCACCACACCCAGCTGGACAGCCCAGCCTCCTTCAGGCGTGGTCATTCCTCTCCTCTTGCCTATGGACCCTTCGTCCTGGAAGTCACCTTGCCAGCCCATGTGGTTCCCTGCTGTTTCTCCAACCCAGCTTCTCCTCTCCCCTAGGTTCCCCCTGCGGCCCCACCAGCCACTGCAAGGGCTGCCTCACTGTTCTCCAAGCCTGCACTGTCCCCCTCTGCACAGCCTCCTCCCACACCTTTCCAAACTAAAATTTGCCAGTGACTTCTGTGGCAGGCAGCTTGGGACACACACATATGTGCGCGCGCGCACACACACACACACACACAGACACACACACACAGACACACATACACACACAGACACACTCACACTAAATTCTTTTTCTTCGTATCTTGGCTAGCTAACCAGCATTCAATGCCTGGAAGCCTCCCTTCCTTCTCCCTTGGTAACCTCCACTCAGCCTTTAGAACTGTCACCTCCTCCACGAAACTATCCCCTGGCTCTTCCTCCCAGGCTGGGTCACAGCCCAGAACGCGCCTGTGCGTTTATTCAGGGTCCTTGCCACATCTTTTAATGATCTGTTTAGGTGTCTGCCTCTCCTCTGAGCGGGGAGTTCCAGGTAAGGTCTGTTGCTGAGTCTCTCTGAATCCCTCACGCCTTGCGCACGGCCCTGATCAAGGCAGGGGCCTTGGGGCGCAGGCCAACGACAGGGCCAAGGGGCGCTCCCGGGCTCGCGGAAGTGGCCCCTTGCACTAGGCTCTGCCAGGCGCGCCCGGACCGAGCTTCCGCGGAATCCCGGTCCGGGAAGGCTCAGCTGTCTTCCTGAAATCTTCGGTGTGCCACGTGGAGCCCAGTCTGGAACTTGTTGTGGGGGGCGGGGGCAGGGTGGCTAGGCGTCAGGCCTGCCACTTCCACCCAGGCTGGAGCCCAAACAGCTTAACGATACATCTGGTGGTGGCTGGCCGGAGGCATTCCCGGAGCGGTGGAGAGAGCCCCGTTCTGCGCTGGCCGCGAGGAGCCGGCTCTTCGCCCTGGGCTCGCGCGAAAAGACTCCGTGCAGAGTCGGAGTCTGAGCACGCCGGCCGCTTAGAAAGCTCCTCACGTCCAGGCGCCGCGGTCACGGATGCGCCGGTTTCCGGCCATGAATTGGGCTTCAGAGTGCGAGCCGCCTGCCCGACTCCCGGCTGAGCCCGGGGCCGTGGGGTGGGGGATGGGCGCCCGCCAATGTCGGTGGGGCCAGCTAGGGTTGGAGCCCGCGGCCGCGGCTCTGCTCCGCGACGTTTGGCCGCGGCGGGTCCCTTTTGGCTCCCCTTGCGTCTCGGTGCCTGGCTCAGAGCCCTGCCCGGTCTCTCTCACGGCTACCCCTGGCCCGGCTCCTAGAGGGGCTCTCTGCCCAGGGCGGGGGTCATGGCCCAAGACGCAAGGCGGCTGAGGTCGGCGGGGGCCAGGGGGCTCCGGGAACCCTCGAGGGCAGTCGGAGGCCGACCCTTCTCCATCCTCTGGTCCCTGGCGAACGGGGGGCACGAGGCCCAGGGCCGCCAAGTCTCTGCGCGCCGCAGCCCCGGCCGGTCCCCATCGCTCTGCGGGCCTCCGAGCGTCCCTCGGGCTGGAAGCGCTGAGCACCCGGCGCCCCCTCCGAGCCGCGAGCGGGAGAGCGCCGCGCTGCGAGGCAGAGGCTCCGCAGTCACGTGGTCGAGAGGAGGGCGGAGGGGAGGGAGGCGGGCAGGGAGGGGAGGGGAGCGGAGTCGAGGGGGAGGAGGAGGGGAGGGGGCGTCCTCCGCAGTTCGGCTCCTCGCCGGGGCTCAGACACACAGCGAGCCCGGAGCCGCCGCGCCGACCCGGCTGCCGCCGCCACCGCCTCCGCCGCCTCCGAAGCCTCCAGAGCCGCGGGGAGCGCCGCTGCCGCCGCCGCCGCCGCGGGCCGCCCCCGCCGCGCCGGCCTGGGCTCGGGCCGCCAGCGTCGCCGCAGCCACCAGCGGAGCGGGAGCCCGACCGCGCTGGGCTGGGCTGGACTGGGGCGGGCGCAGGGCTCAGGGGCGGGCGCGCGGGGAAAGACGCACGGGCGGGCTTCGCTCTCCCGGGGAGCGGCCCGGGACTGCACCCGGACCGGCGCCTCCCCGCTCCGCGCTGCCCTCGGCCTCGCCCCGGGCCCGGGCGGATGAGCCGCGCGCCCGGGGGACATGGAAGCGCTGACGCTGTGGCTTCTCCCCTGGATATGCCAGTGCGTGTCGGTGCGGGCCGACTCCATCATCCACATCGGTGAGCGCGGCGGGCGCGGGGCCGAGGTTGGGCGGGGGCCCCAGCGGCGCGGGGGGTGCGCGGCGTCCAAACTTGGCTGTTTCCTGGGCCGAGGGGCTCGGCGGGCGGTGCTCCCCCGAAGGGCCGCTCCGCGCCGCCCCGCGGAGATGTGCACGGGCCGCGCCGCGCTCCCGCGGGCTCCCGTTTCTCCCCGGGGATCCAATCCCCGCCTCGGGGCCCCGCGGCCTCTGCCGACACTTAGGGCCGCGGCTGCGGGAAATCCGGGGCTAGGCGCAAGTCCAGACCCGCGCCCCTGGCGGGGCCGTCGGCGGGGTAGGGCCAGCCCTTAGGCGCAGCTCAGAGCAGCGGGCGCCGAAGGCGGCAGGGCCTGGGGTCTCGCCAAGTTGGCAGGGCAGGATTCAAGAGGCCCAACCGGAACCGTGCGTGAATGTGGGTGGGTGGGTGTTGTCAGCGTGTGTCTCTGTGTGCGCTTGTGGCTCCGTGTTGGTGTCACTGCGAGAGGGCGTTGGGGTGTATGGGGCCATCAGAGCCTGTGTTGGTGCGTGCATGACTGTCAGCCTGTTAGAGTGGACACAGTGTCTACCTGTTTCTCTGGTGTGTGTCTGTGTACCTCTCTGTATATGTGTGTGTGTATGTGTGTGTGTGTGTGTGTGTGTGTGTGTGTATCTGGCTGTGGCGACAGCAGCCCAATCCTGGACCGTCCCAGAGTTTCCTACGGCCCAGGTCTTGGGGGCCGGCACATGGTCTGGGTGGTGGGAATCAGGGAAGAAGCCTGGGCTGTGGTGTGGTGTGTGGGGGGAGTGTGTGCGCGCGCGCTGAGCGGGAAGAGACCGATGGAGGGAGAGAACCGGCAGAGGAGAGAAGACGAGATAGAGGAGAGAAGGAGGGGGCTTGTCGCTGATGGGGAGTGTGTGGGAGTTGGTAGCAGCAGGGGAGAAATCCCAGGAAGTTGGTACGGGCTGGGGGACTGACAGCGATTGCTTTTGGGGAGCCCGTCTGCAGTCGCTTTTCCGGAAGTTGGGAAAGACCAGCGAGCCCAGAGAGTCTGGGGGGTTGGGAGGTGTGAGAAGGCAGGGATGATGGGACAGGCGAGGCCGGGGTGTGATGGGTGGTCAGGGACTAGGCCTGGGCTTGGTGCGCTGCAATCCCCCTGCAGGAGTCAGGGGCCGGGGCCAAACCTGCTTCCCAATGGTGGTGGAGGTTGCGGGGGGGGGGGGCGCTTGGGTCTCGAGGTCAGCATTGCGGCTCTGGGTGTAGCATGGAACGGGACCTTCCTCCTCCTGCCCAGCCCCCAACTCGGGGAATCACTGGGCCCAGCCCTGGGACTGTGGTGACCCTCAGGGCCTGGTGAGGGGAAGGACTCCGGAGTTGTCCAGGCTACAGGGCCAGGTTCGGTGAGTCCCACCGATCCCGGCTTCAAGTGCTGAGAGTCGGCCACGGCGGTGCTAAGAGCGCAAAGGGCCAGCCGGAGGCCGCCCCAGAGGAGCTGTTCATGGTTCTAGAAAGCCCTTTCAAGAGCGGCTCCTTCTGGGCTCCTCAGCCCTGCTGGGTTAGAAGGCAAAGGGTCTAGGGACATCCTCCTACCCACCCACCCCTAATGTACACGGCAGGAGAAAAAGTGGGGAGGGATGGAAAGCAGGAGGCAGAGCCCAGGGAGTCAGACTGGGACTGAGCTGCCTGCTTGCCTGTCATCGGTTATCAAAGGCCCCTGCGTAAAGAAGCCCCCTGGCGTAGGAGAGCCACTGTGGACCTGCTCGCTTAGCTCTTTGCAGGGGGTGGTGCGCAGGGCAGAAGGAAGTCATTGTTCCATTTTGGGATTGGGGCTGGGGACACTTGCCTGCAGGGGAACTTTGTGGCTCCTGGGATAGGACTCACGGGGCCATGTCAGGGCATTTAGGTGCTGCCTGAGGTCACAGCAGCTTGGCTCAGTCCATTATGTGGGGCATGGTTGATACATGAGGTGGTTTGGTTGTGAGACACTTGTGTGACCTGGTGGCAGCATATGCCATGTGCATGTGTAACTCATGTCGACTGTGTTGGAATATTTGGGGGGTGTGTTTCTGTGTTGGGGGACTGAGGAGAGCCTTAAACTATCCTATCAGGCTGAAACCGCAGCCCAGAAGTCCTGCCACCTGGCAACCTGCAGTCCTGCCAGCACCATGACCAGAGGGCCAAGGCTGGGGTAGGGGTGGGGTGGGGAAGCGGCCCCCTCTAGGCCTATAGCCTTGACCCCTCCTCTCCTCCAGGTGCCATCTTCGAGGAGAACGCGGCCAAGGACGACAGGGTGTTCCAGCTGGCCGTATCCGACCTGAGCCTCAACGATGACATCCTGCAGAGCGAGAAGATCACCTACTCCATCAAGGTCATCGAGGCCAACAATCCTTTCCAGGCCGTGCAGGAAGGTGAGTGGCTGGCCGCCATGCCCAGGGCTAACAGGGCGGGGGGGCCTGCCAGCAGCGCTGGAGCCCTGCAGGGTCGCGAAGGGCTGGGCCACGCAGGGTTCCCTGTGTGCCTGGGCAGTCACGGGGCCGCGCACGGTGCGCGCTCCCTTCCCGGCCCACCAAAGCAGTGGTGCGGGAGTGCCTTGCGCTGCGGGGCTGGAGCGGAGAGCTTGTGAGCGGGGAGCTGGGCTCCTCGCGGGGCGTGTCTCGGGCTTGTGCGGCTCCTTTCCAGCTGGGTGGGCGCGTCTGTGAGCCGCGCAGGCGTGTGTGGCTTAGGGCTGTCTGTGTTGTTTGAGTGTGGGTGGGTGTGTCTTCGAGAAGGGTACCTGTGTTGGTGCACCTCCCCTGACCTGGATGGGCCAGTGTCTTCTTCGCTATCAACCGAGGAGCGAGGAGCGTGTGGCGCCCAAGCCCGTGAACGCGCGGCATCTCTCGCCTCGAGGCCGCTCTGTGCCTCGGCTGGCTGGCGTTTCTCGGCCGGCGGCGCTCCTCCTCCGGGTTTGGAGGAGCCGTTCTCCCTTGCGGTCCCCGCCGTGGGCGGAGGCGTCCCCGCCCGGGCCGAAGGTGGGCGCTGTTTGACCAGAAAAGCAGCGGAGTTGGGCCAGGCCAGGCTGCGGGGAAATCCTAGCCCGTGCCTGGGCCGCTGTGGTCCGCAAACTCGGGCCCGCAGGCAGAGGCAACAAGTGCGAGGCTAAGCGCAGAAGCCCCCTCTGCTCTTCCCTACTCTCTCATTCGCTCACCTCCCACTTGGCTTGAGCCTGGGCTCTGGGCCTCGGGTATCTCTCCCACGATGCCTGCTTCCTCATCAGAGACTAAGGCTTTCACTGCCCCTGATATCTGCCTGGCCCAGGGCCCCTTTCCTCTCCTCTGCCCCCATATCCATGGTTTCTCCTAGTTCCGTATATCCAAGGCTTTGACTCTGAGGCCCTCGCCCAGGAGTATTGAGGACAGAGGCCACAGCTGGTAGCCGGGATTCCTCCCAGGAGGAACGGACAGGACAGTGGGTCAGTGTAGGGAGGAGGTGGGCTGGCTGAGGGCTCCAGGCAAGTTACCCTCGCCCCGCCCCTGGGCCCAGAGCCCTCCTCCGGCTCTAGGTTATATGTTGGCTGCTGGTTTTCTTGTATCTCCAAGGATAGGGTGACTCAGTGAAGGCTCTGGTCTGGGTGCAGAAGGTCAGAACTGGTGCTGGGGAGAACTTGGTGCTGGAAGGAGGTTTTGGGGAGTCTGCTATTCTTGCAGAGGAGGGAGAAGGCCCAGCTCTGGGGCCTGAAAGTCCAAGGATGTCTTGAGGTAGTTGTGAAAACCTGGAGGTCTGGATGTGTTTTGGGGGTGGTGGTGAGTGGGGTGAGGCTGGTGTTGTCTGTCAGGGGAGCTGCCACTCCCAGCCCTGGCAGAGGTCTGACATTCATTGAGGTACGAGGGAAGGAATCCCTGTCCTTCTTTGCTGTCTGATCATGTCCTACCTGCAGTCCCTGCCCCCGCATGCCCTGCCCTTGGACTTTTTTTTCAGCGTGCCCTCATCACAACTGTTGCATGTGCTTGGGGTGGGCTCTAGCCAGGGGAGGGTGAAACCTCCTTAGGCAGGAGTGACCCTACCTGGGGTGGGGATCTGTGGTGACACAGGCTTTTCCAGTTACATGCCACAGTTTTCACAATGCCTCATGCTCCCTTGACACTGTCCCCATACACTCGTCTCTGTGGACATTTATTCTTTGTGCTTGGGAGCTGAGGACGCAGCTGGGGAGCACCTGTTTCCTGCCCCAGGGAGCTCACAGTGTGGCAGGGATGCCGCCTGTGTTTGCCATGGCAGTTTGGCGCTTCCACCTTCTCTGTTGACATACCTTGTTTCCATTGACTTCCCCTCGGCTGTGTTGACTATTCCATGCTCATTCATTTTGCTCCAAATGATGCCCATTGCCCCCCCCCCCCCGCCCCCCTCCAGCAGCAGGTCCCCAGAGACTGAAGCTAATGCTCTTGCCTAGGGTTACAGTCTCAGGCAGGTAACACACATGGGTGAACTGGGCAGCTGGGCCTGAAAGAACCTGGAATGTGGGGTCTGGAGAGGTCATCTCTGTCAAAAGGAGCGGCTGTTCCGTAGCTTCAACTGACTTTACCATTTGGGAATGAAAATCCTAGTGTTATAAATGGGATGATTTTTTTTTTTTTTAAGAGGAGCCCCAAATCTGGACTTTAATGTAAAACCTGATTTCTAACTGTGCTCCAGGAATCAAACAGTTTGAACAACACAGTACAAGCCCAATAAAACAGAGCTTCGGGCCGTTCAGCCTTCAAGCCCTAATGCAACTTTGTTCTGGAGGCACAGGGCTCTACCCAGGGGCCTTTTCTGGGTCTCAGTTTCTCTATTTTTATAACTGGAAGAATGTCTCAGGCTCCAAGCATGGCAGGCTGACACAGTCTTGGAAGCGTGTGAGTGAGTGTGTGCGTACATCCAGAACTAGAGAATTGGAAGCTGATGGCTGACAGTTGTCCAGGTGGAGGAATACTGACCAGGTGGTGTTGGGCTACCCTCTGCCCAGAGGGTGTGTGCAGGCCAAAGTTGGTATGCTTTCAACTGATCAGCCCCGTGGGCAGAAATTCACATTGTTATCCCATGACCTTTTGAAGCCCTGGGATGTTACCAGGGATGGGACTCCTCGAGAGCCTCAGGGAGTACAGAGCGGGGCACAGAGGCTCCTCCTCCCTGGCCTGAGGCTTGGTGCAGCAGGCGCTCAGCTGGCTGGGTGTCCTTCCTTCTGCGCTCTGTGGGGTGCTGTCCATCCTGTGGCTTAGCCCTACCTGATAGATATCTCATCTCTGTCGGCCCTGCTTGATAGATATCTCATCTCTCTCCTGGGCTTGGACAGTCCCAGCAGCAGGACATGGGTGGTAGATGCAGCTCGGATGGGAAAGGAAAGGACTTCTTGGCTGGGGCAAAGGCAGACTGGGGTTCGGTCTCCATCATGGACTGGGCGAGCTCCCAGTGACAACCCCCCCACCCCCGAGGTGGAATTGGGATTGAAGTGGTGCTGCCCCATTTTGACTTGAGAGGTAGGACCATGCAGGAATAAGAGCATAGTTCTTGGAGTCCCAGAAACTGGGTTCAAATCTTGCTTGCCTCATGTGCAGTGTGATTTTGGCAGAGGCCTGGCCCTGTTCTGAGCTTCTGTTCACATATCTGTTGAAAGGGAACAATCACAGTACCTGCCTCCTGGAATTATGGTGAGGATTAAATGAGATGAGACATGTATGAATTGTCTGCAGAGGGCCTTCAGTAGGTGTCCAGTAAACATGAATTCCCTCTCCATTTCTTGACCAACTGTGAATCCATCTCAGCTTCTCCTGAGGCTGTTATTTTCAGCTGCACCGTTGGTTAAGCTAGTGAATTCCTTGAGAGCGGACCCTAACTGACCTTTTCATTTTCAGCTTTTTGCTTAACTTTTCCCCTCCTGATTATAAAAGAAATGCTTTGCTACAATGAGCATGAATTAATTTAAAAATGAGAAAAAGGAAAAGGGCAATGCATGCTCATTATATAAAATGTGGAAGGTACAGGAAAGCATCAAGAGACAGAACAAAATCGTTTGGAATTCTACCACTGTTCTTTCCTTCTAGTCTTTTTTCGTGCACTGAATTTCATAAGTGCTGAGAGTTCCTATTCTGTTCAGTTGTGTGTATATATATATATATATATATATTTTTTTTTCATTTAACATATCATTGGCTTTTTTTGAAATCACTATGAACTATTTGTAAACATTACTTTTAATGGCTGCATATATTTTCAATATCCAAAACAACTTATTTTTAAAAATGCAAACATTTATGTTGGGATATGCTTAAGTATTTAATGAAGAAAACAGGAAACCCTACTTTGGCTTGTTGGTCCTAAGATTTATACCTGCAGTTTCTTCAGGCTGATTTTGTATCCATACAAGCTTCTTACAAGTTACCTTTTGAGGCAGTTGGTCAGTTTATGTAAAAGATTGGATCACTTTTTAATAAAATATGCATTTGGTGAGGATTTAGCAAATGATAACACAGAAATGGTATTTAAATCTCTAAAAGGCTGTATCTTAGATTTAGTTGGTAAAGTCCATATTAACAATAAGTGTGAAAATTTGTCTTCTAGATACTAGATGAGATACTAATTTGTTAAATGAAAAATTTTCATATTGCTTTAGAGTGCCTGCTCAAGGAGAGGATTATATAAATGCATAAACGCATAAAGGAACTGCCTGAACACGAGTCTCTTCCGTTCACAGTATTATCTTTTACTGTAAGTGAAAGACTTGAGTTATTGGTTATGCTGTAGATATATCTGTCACAGAGTGGAAAGATAACAATTTAGGGAAGAGGAAGAAAAAAGGAATATATGTGATGCATTATTTCTTTTAGTTACAATAAGCACAAAAGTGTTTTAGGAAGACAAGGTAAAAATCACCCAAGTATAGCTTGGTGTTCACAGAATACAGCAATGAAACAATGAAATAAGAGGAAAATAAAGCACAGTGGGCTTGGTGGTGTCCATCTGATGGCCTTGCTCGTATTATACTGGTCACACCTAGGTGGTCACCCTGCCCCTTACGCTCTATGACATCTGCTAGACGGTTTCCCTCCCTGAGCTTTGATGCCTCTGGTGTCTTCCTTGATTTCCCTTCAGAATTATAGGTCCCGCTGAGGCTGTATTTTTGCAGCCTCTGCTGGCAGACCCACTGTTCTCCCTGATAACGGTGTTATAGGTCCCTGCCTGGGAGATACTGTCAGCATTTCCCTGGGTGTGATGTTAGAGTCATTAAAGATGCTTGCAGGCCCACACCATCATTCCCATCCACTCAGCTGCATAATTTTTCTCTTGGCGTTGAAACAAATTTTACCACAACTTTGCTGGTTAAAAATGGGAATGTAGGGAATTCCCTGGCGGTCCAGTGGTTAGGACTTGGTACTTTCACTGCTGAGGGCCC